TCTTTCCCTGAGGGAGGAGAGGGAGCAAAGTGGGATTTAGCTGCAGCACAGGTTGCTGTGCGAGGCACCCCGGAGCTAGTGTTAGAAGCAGGCCATGGAGGAGTCTGCCCCGGCTGGGAGGCTAGGCTGCTTTACTCGGTCAGTTTATGCTGGTACCATGGGGCCGGTTGTTTTTTCCTTGTTTTGTTTTTTGTTTCAATCGTCCAGGAGCACATGCGCTGGCCAGAGGGGGAGAGTGCTCCTGTAGGTGTGGTGGCTGCAGTCCCTTCCCCATCTCTTTGCCTTGGGGACTGTGGGTGTACACGCACCTGCTGTGTTTCCCAGTGTCTGGGCTGGGTTTGCACCGCAGCCGACCATGTGGGATCCAGCTGCCTTACGCACAAGCCAAAGGGGCAGTCTGGGTAGATTTGTTTACCAGGAAAAAAGAATTAAGAGCAGATTTGAATTTCTGTCCATTCAAGCTTTAATTATAACACTGGTGCTCACAGAGAAAATGTGTTTACCATAGTTTGAAAGGTTATTGTTTCCCCTGACTTTTTAAGTTTTTAAAATAATAAAATATACTGGGGGCCAGCAGGGGTGTGTGATTAAGGTGATGGACACTTCCACATGGCCGACCACTGTTCAAGTCCCGGACCTGGTGGTTTGCTTTCTTACTTTCCTGTCTTTCTTTGGTAAAATTAAAATAAGTGAATGAGTAAGTAAAATTAAATAAATAACTTTTAAAAAATGATAAAATATACTTTTCTTGAAAAAAAAAAAAAGTAGATACCTGTCAATGTTCTATGAAAAGCTGGGCTTCCCATCCCATGTCTCTGACCCTGCCCAGGGGCACAGTCCCTAGTCTGACTGCATCTTACTGAGTCACTGCTTTGACAGTGGAGGATCGGGCTGTCCCCTCAGCACAGTGGTTTAGTGCTGTGCATAGAAAGCTGGGTCCCATGTGGCCGGCTGCAGTTCGAATCCCAGCCCTGGAGGCTTGAAAAACACACCAGTGTCGGGAACCAGCAGTTAGCGTAATGGCTATGTCGCTGGACTCCCACGTAGTCGACCGCGGCTCACGTCCCGGACCCAGTGGCTTAAAACTCACGCTGGGTTCGTGTGCGTGCGTGCCCAAGATCCCGAGAGGAGAATGGAGGAGAAGGGATTGCGGTGTGACCATCCCCCCTGGGGGGTGATTTCTCGCTTTCTGTCTCTAATGTCTCCCTCTGTCTGTCTGGCGAGCGCACGCACCCTATAGTGAAAATCTCTCCAAAAACAAACAAAAAGAAACACAGCAGTGTGTGTGTGCATTGCAGGTGCTCCAACTCCTGACCCAGCAGAAAGGCGCTACAAAGGGGTGTGCGGCCATGACCCATTGCTGGGCGCTTCTTTTTCTAAGTAGCGCATGTGCTCTCTGGCGACGAGGGAGAAAACCGAGGATCGGGTGTTTAGTTATTGGGAAGGTTTTTACGGAGTTCTTTGAAACAGCTACTAGCACAGAGATCGCAGACTGTTTCGGGGTGAGATGGACGGGCCCTCGGGCGTGTTGGGACTCCTGCCTGTCCACGCTGCCAGGCTGTGCACACCCTGCCCCAACTCGGCTCCCTGCAGCTTCCCCTCCTGCTTGCCGGGTGGCGGGTGGCCTGCATTCTGCCCGCAGCGGGGCCTGTGTTGCGGCGTGGCTGCGCCCCTTGTGGCTGCAGGGCTCTGCCGCCTGCTCGGTGTAGAGAGCTGCGGGGCTGCAGCGCGGCGGCGCAGCGGCCAGAGTGGGGACAGCCTTCAGAGGTCTGCACCTGCCCCCGTCTCCGGCACCTGTCTTCTCCATGCATCGGCCTAGACCTGTTGGCCCTGTCCAGGTCACCGTCCCTGCACCCAGCTGTGTCAGGCCCAGTGCGTGGGGCGGTGGGGGCACCAGTTCCTCCCGGAAAGCCCCCCGTTTCTCCCCTTGCCACTCATCATCCAGATGCCACCAACACCTCCTGGCGGCTTCAGCCACACCGCTGGCCACCCTCAGCCATCCTAATGGACACGACCTCACAGGAGAGCCAGGTGTGGGTTACCTGTCATGCTTGGCCCTGTCACCTGGACAGCCTTATTCTGCAGGGGTGCTCCGTGAGGTCGGGGACCTCTCAGGGACTGCCAGCTGCCTTTGGCCACCACAGCTGGCAGCTCGTCACATGTCAGCCCATGTAGAGCTTCTGCCCAGCAGTCCCCAGGGGCCGTGGTCCTCAGCCCTGATCCTCCTCAGCAGCTTCTGTAATACTGGTTTGTCAGAAAGGCTGTGACACACAGAAGAACAAAGAAATGAACACAGTAGATGGTGCTTCCCCAGTTCTAGGGACTCAGGCCAGCGAGCCTCACCTTCTGCTCCTGTACTGGAGAAGCACAGCAGGCCCAGGAGTGGCCCGGCCGCCCTGCCCCCATCGGGTGGGTCA